TAGAAATCTCCAATGGTGATTCTCTATTTCTCATTTCAGTTTTTGCCTCATGAACTTTAGGGCTCTGTTGTTGGGTATAATACATTTATAATTGATTTATATTCCTGATGTATTGGCCATTTTATTATTATGAAATTTCTCTCTACCTGTAGTAATAGTTCTTGTCTTAAAGTCTATTTCTCTGATAATATTGTAGCGCCTTCAACTCTGTTAAAGTTACTATTTGCATAGTATGTCTTCTTCTATAAAATGATGGTAAAACTTTCCATTTATTTATTTGAATATAAAGTGTTTCTCTTATAGACAGCATATAATTTGGTCTTATTTTATTTAGTTTGAAAATCTGTCTTTTGAGGAAATTGTTTGGTCTATTCTAATTTAATGTAATTTTTGATTTGGTTGGATTTACATCTGCTATCTTGCTATTTGTTTTCTATGTCTCATAGAAATTCCTCTGGTTCTCCTTTACTGCCTTCTATTGTGCTTAACATTTTTAAAGTGTACCATTTTAATTCCTTTAATTTTTAAACTATTTAAAATTTTTTCTTAGCAGTTGCTCCAGAAATTTCATATGTATGTTACTTTATCACAATCTAATTCAGGCTAATACTGGCTTAATTTCATTAAAATATAGCAACTTTGTTACAATATATCTCTATTTTCTCCACCTCTGCTTTCTGATATTGTTATATATATCCACATATGTAATACATCCAACAATATGGTTCCATAATTATTGCTTTATATGCTCTTATATCATTTAAAGAAATTACGAGAACAAAAAAGAAAAGCATTTATACAGCCTTTTATATTTACCTACATATTTACCATTTCTGATGCTTTTCATTTCTTCCTGTGGATTCAAGTTAGTGTCTGGTATATTTCCTTTTAATCTGAAGGATTTTAGTATTTCTTTAGTATTCCTTGCAAGTCTGCTGGCCACAAATTAGGTCAGTCTTTACTTATCTGGGAATATCTTTGTTTTACCTTCATTTTTCAAGGACAGTTTTGTTGGACATAGAATTCTTGGTTGAGTTTCTTTTTCTTGCTTTTTTTTATTGAGTTCACCTTGGTTTCTAACATTATATAAATTCCAGGTGTACATCATTATATTTTGACTTCGGTATAGACTACATTGTGTTCACTACCAAAAGTCTAGTTACCATCCCTTACCAGACACATGTGCCCTTTTACTCCTTTCACTCTCTCCCCAGCCCCCTCCTAACCATCAATCTGTTCTCCATATTTATGGGTTTGTTTATCTTCCACATATGAGTGAAGTCATATGGTAATTGTCTTTCTCTTTCTAACTTATTTCACTTAGCATAATACCCTCAAGGTCCATATGTTGTTGCAATGGCAAGATTTTGTCTTTTTTTATGGCTAAGTAGTATTCTGTATATATAGCACCTCTTCTGTATCCATTCATCCGTTGATGGGCACTTAGGCTGCTTCCAGGTCTTGCCTATCATAAATAATGCTGCGATGAACATAGGGGTGCAAATATCTTTTTGAATTAGTGATTTCATGTTCTTTGGATAAATACCCAGAGGTGGAATAGCTGGGTCACATGGTATTTCTACTTTTACTTTTTGAGGACTCTCTATACTATTTTCCATAGTGGCTGCCCAATTTACATTCCCACCAGCTGTGTACAAGGGTTCTTTTTTCTCCACATCTTCTCCAACACTTATTATTTCTTATCTTTTTAATAATAGCCATTCTGATGAGTTTGAGGTGATATCTCGTTGTAGTTTTGATTTGCATTTCACTAATAATTAGTGATGTTGAACATCTTTTCATGTGCCTGTTGGCCATCCGTATATCTTCTTTGGAAAAATGTCTGTTCATATCCTCTGCCCATTTTTTGATTGGGTTGTTCATTTCTTCATTGTTGAGTTGTATGAGTTCTATATATATTTTGGAAATTAACCCCTTGTCAGATATATGATTTGCAAATATCCTCTCCCAATTGGTAGGTTGTCTTTTCATTTTGTTGATGGTTTCCTTTGCTGTACAGATGCTCTTTAGTTTTATGTAGTTTGTTTATTTTTTCTTTTGTTTCCCTTGCCTGAGGAGACATGATACTCAAAAAGATACTGCTAAGACTGATGTCAAAGAGCATACTGCCTATGTTTTCTTCTAGGGATTTTATGGTTTCAGGTCTTATATTCAAGTCTTTAATCCATTTTGAGTCAATTTTTGTGTACGGTGTAAGATAATGATCTACTTCATTCTTCTGCATGTGGTTATCCAGTTTCCCCAACACTATTTATTGAAGAGACTTTCCTTTCTCCACGGTATGTTCTTGGCTTCTTTGTGGAAAATTAGCTATCCATAGATGTGTGGTTTTACTTCTGCGCTCTCAATTCTGTTCCATTGATCTGTGTGTCTGTTCTTCTGCCAGTACAATGCTGTTTTGATGACTATAGCTTTGTAGTATATTTTGATATCAGGGGGTGTGATACTTTCAGCTTTGTCCTTGTATTCTCAGGATTGCTTTGGCTATTCAGGGTCTTTTGTTGTTCCATATAAATTTTAGGGTTCTTGGTTCTATTTCTGTGAAAAATGTTGGGATTCTGAATGGGATTGCATTGAATCTGTAGATTGCTTTAGGTTATATGGACATTTTAGCTATGTTTATTCTTCCAATCCATGAGCATGGAATATCTTTCCATTTCTTTATGTTGTCTTTAAATCAAAGACATTTCAATAATGTCTTATAGTTTTCAGTGTATAGGTCTTTCACCTCTTTGGTTAAATTTATTCCTAGGTATTTTATTCTTTTTGTTGCAATTGTAAATGTGATTGTTTTCTTCTCTTTCTGCTAGTTCGTTATTAGTGTATAGAAATGCAACTGATTTTTGTGTGTTGATTTTGTACCCTACAACTTTGCTGTATTTTTTGATTATTTCTAGTAATTTTTTGGTAGATTCCTTAGGGTTCTCTATATAGAGAATCATGTCATCCACAAATAATGAGAGTTTTACTTCTTCCTTTCCAATTTGGGTACCTTTTATTTCTTTTTCTTGCCTAATTGCTCTGGCTAGGACTTCCAATAGTATGTTGAATAAGAGTATGTGAGTGGGCATCCTTGTCTTCTTCATGTTCTCAGAGGAAAGGCTTTCAGTTTTTCACTGTTGAGTATGATGTTGGCTGTGGGTCTGTCATATATGGCCTTTATTATGTTGAGGTTATTTCCTTCTATACTCATTTTATTGAGAGTTTTTGTCATAAATGGATGTTGGATCTTGTCAAATGCTTTCTCTGCATCTATTGAGATGATCATGTGATTCTTGTTCTTCATTTTTTTAATGTGGTGTATCACATTGATTGATTTGCAGATGTTGAACCATCCCTGCATTCCTGGAATAAATCCCACTTGATTGTGGTGTATGATCCTTTTAATGTATTGTTGTATTTGATTTGCTAAATTTTGTTGAGGACTTTTGGATCTATGTTCGTCAGCAATATTGGGCTGTAATTTTCCTTTTTTGTGTTGTCTTTGTCTGGTTTTGGTATCAGGGTTATGTTGGCCGTGTAAAATGAGTAAGGAAGTGTCCCCTACTCTTCAATTCTTTGGAAGAGTTTGAGAAGGATAGGTACCAAATCTTTGAATGTTTGGTAGAATTCACCAGAGAAGCCATCTGGTCCTGGATTTTTGTTTTTTGGGAGGTTTTTGATTACTCTTTCAGTCTCTTGTGGTTGGTCTATTCAGATTCTCTGTTTCTTCTTGGTTCAGTTTTGGGGGGTTGTATGATTCTAAGAATTTATCCATTTCTTCTAGGTTATCCAATTTATTGGTGTATAGCTTTTCATAGTATTCTCTTATAATCCTTTGGTTTTCTATGGTGTCTACTGTAGTTTCTCCTCTTTCATTTCTGATTTTATTTATTTGAGTCTTCTCTCTTTTTTTCTTATTGAGTCTGGCTAAGGGTTTGTCAGTTTTGTTTATCTTTTCAAAGAACCAGCTCTTAGTTTCATTGATCGTTTCTATCGTGTTTTTAGTCTCTATTTCATTTATTTCTGCTCTGATTTTTATTATTGTCTTCCTTCTACTGACTTTGGGCTTTGTTCTTTTTCTAGTTCTTTTAGGTGTAGTGTCAGATTGTTTATTTGATATTTTCCTTGTTTCTTGAGGTAGGCCTATATTGCTATAAATTTCCCTCTTAGTACCATTTTGCTGCATTCTATAGGGGTTGGTATGTTGCGTTTTCATTTTTATTTGTTTTCAGGTATTTTTTGATCTCTCCTTTGATTTCTTCATTGATCCGATAGTTGTTCAGTAGCATGTTCTTTAGTCTCCACATATTTGTGACTGCCCCAGGTTTCTTCTTGTAGTTGATTTCTAGTTTCATACCATTGTGGTCAGAAAATATGCTTGATATGATTTCAATCTTCTTAAATTTATTGAGAATTGTTTTGTTTCTCAATGTATGGTCTATCTTTGAGAATGTTCAATGTGCACTTGAGAAGAATGTGTATTCTTCTACTTTTGGATGGAATGTTCTATATAAATCTATTAAGTCCATCTGATCTAGTGTTTCATCTAATGCCAATATTTCCTTGTTACTCTGTCTGGGTGATCTATCCATTGATGTTAGTGGGGTATTAAAGTCCCCCACTATTATTGTGTTGCTGTCAATTTCTCCCTTTAGGTCTGTTAATAGTTGCTTTATATACTTTGGTGCTCCTATGTTAGGTGCATGTATATTAATAAATGTTATGTCTTCTTGGTGGAATGTCCCCTTTATCATTATATAATGCCCATCTTTGTCTCTTGTTATCTTTTTTGTCTTAAAGTCTGTTTTGTCTGATATAAGTATAGCTACACTAGCTTTCTTTTGTTTGCCATTCGCTTGGAGTTTCACCTTCTATCCCTTCACTCTGAGCCTATATTTGTCTGAGATGGGTCTCCTGGAGGCAGCGTATTGTTGGGTCTTGTTTTTTAATCCATCCAGCCACTCTGTGTCTTTTGATTGGTGAGTTCAATCCATTTATATTTAGGATGATTATTGACATATGAGGGCTTAATACTGCCATTTTATCCTGTTTTTTGGTTGTTCTGTGTTTCTGTTAAACGTTTTCTTTTTCCTTGTGTTTCTGTCTGCTTTTTCAGTTTGTTGATCTACTATGATGTGTTTCTGTTTCGTCTTTTTCATGTTTTGCAACTCTGCTCTGATTTTTTGTTTTGTGGTTACCATGAGGTTTGTATAAAAGATCTCATAGACGAGATAGTCCTTTTTCTGCTGATAGCCACTTATATCCATTTGCTTATGCAGGTTCCGTCTTTTTCCTGTTCCCTTCTATGTTTTTCTTGTTACAAATTATTTTTGTATTGTAAGTTTGTTACCAAATTGAAGTGGTTATAGTTATTTTTAATGCTTTCTTTTCCTTTAGCCTTTATTGTTTACTACCCTATTCTGATATAGAGTTGCAATTTTCTGATTCTGTCTATTTATCACCTTACTCAAAGTTTTGTGTACCTTTGCCTTTTTGTTTCAGGTAGGAGGGCTCCTTTCAACATTTCTTGTAAGGCAGGTCTAGTGGTGATGAACTCCTTCAGCTTTTGTTTGTCTGGGAAAGCCTTTATTTCCCATTCATATCTAAAAGATAACTTTGCTGGATAGAATATTGTTGGCTGATAGTTTTTATCTTTCAATATTTTGAATATTGAATATATATGTATATATATGAATATATGAAAAAAATATATAGTTTTTGTCTTTCAGTATTTTGAATATATCATTCCACTCTCTCCTAACCTGTAGAGTTTCTACTGAGAAATGCACTGATAGCCTAATGGGGGTTCCTTTCTAAGTTATTTTCATCTCCCTGACTGCCCTTAATATTCTTTGTCATTGACTTTTGATAGTTTTAATATAATGTGCCTTGGAGAAGGTCTTTTTGCATTGAGATAATTAGGTGTTCTACTAACTTCATATACTTGTATACCCGGTTCCTTATCCAATTTGGGAAGTTCTCAGCTATTATTTCTTTAAATAAGCTCTCTGCTCCTTTCTCCCTCTCTTCTCCTTCTACGATACCCATTATCCTTATGTTGCTTTTCCTAATTGAGTCAGATATTTCTCATAGAACTTCTCCATTAAAAAAACCTTAGTTCTCTCTCCTCTTCTACCTGAATCATTCTAGATTTCTATCTTCAAGCTTGCTAATTCTCTATTCCATATGCTCTGCTCTATTTTCAATGCTTTCTACTTTATTCTTCATCTCATTTATTGTGCTCTTCAGCTCCAGAATTTGTGTTTTTTTTTTAAAGTTTTAATTTCTTTGGTGAAGTACTCCTTCTAATAATTTTATTCCTGAGCATATTGAATTGCCTTTCTGAGTTTTCCTGTAACTCACTGAGTTTCTTCATGACAGCTATTTTGAATTCTCTGTCAGTTGGATCACAATCTTCTGTGACTTCAATTTTGTTTTCTGAAGAGTTGTCATTTTCTTTTTGTGCTACCATGTGACTATAGTTCTTCATAGTGCTTGATGAGTTGTTCCACTGCCAGCACATTTGTGGTAGCAAACACCTTTTTTATTTCAGTGAGACTTTGTTTACTTTGATTCTGAGCTGCTTCTGGCTGTATTTGAGAGTCTGTGCTTTCCACCTTCCACACCTTGGTCAAAGGTGGTATCAATGCTCTCATTGTGCTGCTTGTGCCCCCAAGGTTGCTCGTGCCTTGCTACTTATGATGTCATTGCAGTTACAGGCACTGCCACTGGGGTCACTGGGCTGCAAGTACCTCTGCTGCTTCTGGGGTTGCCTGGGTTGTGTGTTCCCCCACTGTGGTGGTGGGGGGAGGGAAAGCAGGGTGGGATTTGGGGTCATGGGCATCTCTGCTACATCCAGGTTTGTTGGGTCTGCAGGCACTGCTGCTACATGTAGGGGGAGGTGGTGGTGAAGATGTGGATGTCTCTGCAGCTGAGGGGGAGCAGACTCATGGGTTCTGCTATCACTGTTACCTGGCTCTCCACAGGCTCTCTGCAGAGTCAGGCACTGCTGCTCCTGGGTTATCTGGGGGTGGCAGCAACGCCACTGCCAGGGACGCCAGGTTTGTGGGTGTTGCTGTCACTGTTGGGTGGGCCAGGGTCATCAGTGATATCGCCATCACCACAGGGGGAGGGATATCTGGGTTGCAAGCACTGCCAGAGTTCCAGATGCCTCTGGTCTCTGGCATCTGCCCAGTTCCTGGAAACTCAGGTCACAGGCACCACCATCACTGCCAGGGGCCTGGGTTGTGGGCACCACTGCAGTTCCTGAAGCCTCAGGTCATAGGTACCAGGTGCCACTGCTGGGGGAGGGGTAGGGACTGAGCTGCAAGTGCCACTGTGGCTCCTACACTCTCTAGTCTCAGGCACCAGCATGATTCCTGGAATATCAGATCACAGCACTGCTGCTGCTGCCAGGGGTACTACAGTCTTGGATGCAACCCCCGTGCTCGAAGGGCAGGCATTGGAAGCGACCCACTGGGGGATGGGGAGGGGGCTGGGTCACAGTCACCACTGTGTTTCCTGAAGCCTCATGTCATGTTCACCACCTGCCACTCCTGAGGGAGGAGTAGGAGCTGAGCCATGAGTGCTGCTGCAGGTCTTGCAGCCTCTGGTCTCTGGCACTGGTGCATTTTGGAACCTCAGGGCACGGGCACTGCCACCACCGCTGGGGGTATTGTGGTCTTGGATGCAGCCCCTGCTGCTGGAAGGGCCAGCACCAGAGGTGCTGCCTCTGGGGGAGAGGGAGGGGTCTGGGTTACAGGCATCACTGCAGTTCTCAGAGCCTCTGGTTGCAGGCCCACAGTAATTCCTGGTGCCTCCAGGAGGGCTGGCTGCCTGGATTCCAAGGTCTCTGTTCATGGATGTTACCTCAGTTCCTGGGGCCTCTGGCATGGCCGCAGTTCCTGGAACCTCCAGTCTCAGGAGCTGCCCCCACTGCTCCCCTGGTTCCACCACGTCCGGGAGGTCCACTCCACCCACCTTCAGACATATAGATGTACGGATCTCTCTGGCGTTCTGCTGTGCTGTGCAGACAGTCCTTTGTTGGTCTATGAATATTGTACTGATTATAACTTAGAGGGGAGAGACAAAGGGAACAACTCACTCTGCCATGATGCTGATGTCACCTTGAATTTATTTTCTTGCAGCACTTTGAATGTTATTCCAGTGCCTTCTTACCTCCACCGTTTCTGATAAGTCACCTGTTGAGCATATTGTTGTTCCCCTCTATACAATGTGTCATTTTTCTTGCTGCTTTTAAGACTCTTCTGTCTTTCAATAGTTTGTCTATGATGTGTTTAGTTAAGGATCTCTGTGAATTATCTTACTGGGAGTTTGATGAGCTTCTTGGATCTGTAGATTAATGTTTTTCCATCAAGTTTGAGAAGTTTTTGACCATTATTTATTTGAAAAAAATTTTCCTGCTCCTTTCTCTCTCCTCCTTTTGGAATTCCCATTATACCTATGCTGTAGGCTTGAATGTTATTCCACATGTCTCTGAGGCTCTGCTAATTTTTCCTCAATTTTTTCCCATCTTTTCTTCAGATTATATAATTTCTATTGCTCTATCTCAAGTTGACTGATTCTTTCTTTCGACATCTCAAATCTGCTCTTTTTTTTTTTTTTTTTTTTTTTTAAAGATTTTATTTTTTTTTTTTTCCCCCAAAGCCCCAGTACATAGTTGTCTGTCATAGCTGCACATCCTTCTAGTTGCTGTATGTGGGACGCAGCCTCAGCATGGCTGGAGGAGTGGTGCCTCGGTGCGCACCCGGGATCCGAACCCGGGCCGCCGGCAGCGGAGCGCACGCACTTAACCGCTAAGCCACGGGGCCGGCCCTCAAATCTGCTCTTGAGCTCATTTAGTACATTCTTCATTTGAGTTTTTATACTTTACAACTTTAGAATTTCCATTTGGTTCTTTTACATAACTTCTATTTCCTTTTTGACATCATTGTCATCATATTTTTCTTTAATTCTTTAAAAATGGTTTTTGCTAATTCTTTGAACATATATTGAATAGCTACTTTGAAGTCTATGCCTGCTATATCCAACATTTGGGCCCACTCAGAGACAGTTTTTATTGAATGCACTCCTCCGACCCCCACCTGTTTCTTTTCCTTTGTATATGTTGTAAATTTTTGTTAGTAACTAGACATTTAAAATACTACATCATAGCAACTTTTGACTCTGATTTTATTTTTTTCCCCTGAGGGTATTTTTTTTTCTGCTTTGCATCATTGTCGCTGTTGGATTTAATCTGCCCTTCCCTGTGGTTCGCCACTGTCTCTATTCAATTTTTGAAAATTCTCGTTTTCATTTTTTAGCCTAGGGGTTACTCTTATTTCTTCATTATTTAGTGGCTAGTCAATGACTAGCTGTTTGTACTCAAACACCAAGAAGGCTTCCACCCTCTCTTTGTGGGTCTATGTGGGTTGGGGAATGCATTCAAAGTTCAGGTAGTTTTCAAGTCTACCATGACTTTTACTTTGTGCCTGGTCCTCTCAGATCTCCTTTGTACATGTGCTCAGCCACCCAGTCACCCAGGAATGTGTGAAGAGCTTGTACCCTTTTGGGGGCTGCATGTTTGTGCAGCTTCCCTAGTCCCCAGGGATGTGTGGAAAATTTATCAAGCCCCTCTATGACTCTCATTTTCAGGATTTCCCTGGAAGATCCCTGTTAAACTTCTAGCTAGTTCTCTTGACTGCTGCTATCCCAACCAGGACTAAAAGCTATGGCTAGGAAACAGCTGCAGGCTTTTCCCATTTGCCACTGTGAGTATGGGTTTTCCACCCTCCACTCCCAAATATGTCAGCCAATCCCCTCTGGCAAACAAAGATGCTAATTTTCATAGCTAGCCCCACTCTGGTAGAACTACCAGGCTAAATGGGGAATAGGGGCAGCCTCAGAGAAGAATGCCACAGAATGCCTGAAGACTTACTTCAAGTTCAGCAGTTTTGAAAAGTTAAGCTCTTCTCAATTTGTTTGTCTTTGGTTGATTTCTAGAGATCTGAAATGGTTGTTTTTGACAAATCTGTCTGGTTTTATATTTGCTTTTTGGGGAAAGGACATCGACCCATTCACTTCTCCATAGCTGGAAGCCTACCGCTTTCACTTAGCTTTTGGCCTGCTAAATTCTTACTGCCATGACAGATCTTAGAAGACTTTCAGGAGATTTAAAAAACATTTTACCCAATATTTTTTGGTATTTTCAGGGGGAGGATCAGTCCAGATATCTAGTCAGCCATAAAGAGGAGAGTTAATACTTTGTCAGTTTTCATTTATGACCATTAAATGAAATTCTTTATGCAAAGAATTCAGCAAAGTATCTGTAACATAAAGGGGCTCAAAAAAAGTAGTTATAACAACATCTGAACACTTATATTGTAGAGATTTTACATACATTATTTTAATCTTAACTCCAAGAGGTAGGTATTCCAATTTTGGTATTAGCCAAAAAAGGATTTACCAGACCAAGGACATACAGGTAGTAAATGGTGGAGCCAGGATTTCAATCCAGATCTACTCAATTCCAAAGGTGGTACCTTCCCCACTTTACCATACTGCTTCCATGGTGAAAGAGATTTCAGTGGCTGCTCTTTTGAGGTACCCTGTAGCCTATCTAAGAGACAGTAAGGAATTAAATCCATTATAGGTATTAAGAAGAGGGTTTATTGTTATACTAACTGACAGTGACCCCAATTACAGAGGGGCACATATAGATTCCCAAAAGCAGACAGAGCTTTTGCTAAGACAATTAACAAATGACTGTAAGGTACCTGTGTGAGTGATTGAAACTGATAAGGTTTTAGGGTTCTATACGATATTTGCCCAAATTCCAACTATGCATACAATGAACAATTAAATCTGAACTAAGACTACCACAAAAATACCTAAACAACTGAACTTCATTCCATTTCAATGCTTATAAATACATTTTGGAATTAAGTAGAATTGGGGACATTGACTCTTTTGGATTAAATCTTACAAGATGGTAAAATTTGAGTCATTATGAATCTGGTCAGTTCTGAATATCCAGAAATCAGATTCTAAGCTACTTCATCAGCCTTCCTAAATGGTCTCTCCACTCCCAGTTTCTTCTCACCTGTGATCTGTTCTTTATATTCTCACCTCACCAATATTCCCCAAACATTCTTTAATCATGTTGCTTCTGTGTAGTTTCTCACTATTTACTATTATTCTCTTAATTCTTCATCCATAGGCCTTTATAATTTGACTCCCAGTTTACCTATGCAACTTTGTCTCTCACAACTCCCTGCCCCTGGTGGGCTCATTTACTCACTCTCCTTTCATCTTTCACTCTTACCACCTTCATTCTCACCTCCAAACCTCTGATTGTGCCGTTCTCCCCACTTACTCTTCCCTGCCTCTCCAAACTACCTTCTTTCCTGGAGCATACTCTTTTCTCTATTTCACCCACCCAAATCTTACAGGTTCTTTAAAATCTACCTCCTTTCATTCATTCAGTGGATATTTGTTCATGCCATGAAGTGTAATATCCAAAGGGTGTCTCTAAGATGCCTTTCCCCATATAATTTACCAAAAAGACATTATCATTTTTATTTCACATCTAGACTAGTTGTGGCTCCACACTAGTGGGAAATCTCTTTTTTATTCAATTGATACATCACTTTTATCCCACTTTTGACTACCTCCAACTTGAATATAATTAGCACATCAGCCCTTCACTCCCCTGAGTTATACATCTATCCTAGGCAATCTATCCTAGTTTAGATATTGTCTTTTCTGGGCCTATGACACAGCATATGGTCATAACAGAGTAACAAATGTATATTCAGAGGAAAAACTTAATTATAATTACAAGTGAGTCTCATAACTGAAGTATCATAATGTTGCATAATGTTCTTGTACTTAAAATCATAAAACTATTAATATTTGAGTACCTTAATTATTTTGCTTCATGCTATGCAGGCAGCCAAGAGATAATGGCTTCTCTTTAGTAAAAGACAACAAAAAACAAAAAAACTATTCAAATGCTAGGTTTGCTTTCAGCCCATATTTCATGTTTTTTCTTTGCCATCTCTTTGCTATCCAGCATCTTCCCCATGTTTTTGCCAGTTAGCCACCAATGCTAATGGGATAAAATAAAGAATATTCGCATACTTGTCATTTTACCAGTCCAGTAAGCCTCCTTATCTCACCCTCATTCTTCCCCATACTCACAGGAAAGTGATAGGGAGGGAGGGAGGGGAGGTGAAAGAAAATGATGTTAAGGAGATGGAATGTGCTTGGAAGAGCAAAGGACTTAATAAAAGAGGAAAAAAACAAGGAGTGAAAAAGGATAGGGGAATATAAGGGATGTTCTAGAATGTTTTACCCACTCTTGTGCAAATGAACCAATCTTTCACCAATCCCTACTAGCTGGTACAAGACCACATATATTCAAGAAATTTTTTAAAAACGCCTTCAGATAAATATTATTTGATAACACCTCTATAGAAATTTGGTGGGTGAGGTAAAACAAGGAGGATTGCCATAATCTGTAGCATTGTCTTACCTATAGTGGCTTTCTCTTCTATCAGCATAATCACACTTGGCTGCAAAAGCCCACATTTCACTGAGTAAATGTGGCCAAAGGCTTATTCTCATTTCAAAATATCTTACTTGGTAGTATATAAAAGGATGTATCACTACTATTCTTGCATTCCAAGGGACTTGAAAATTCCATAAAACAATTTTGTTTTCAGTAAGTTAGTGGACTTTCATTTAATCTTATCTGACTGTGCTCTAGAAAACAAGAAACAAAAGAAAATTTTTGGCTAGTTATGTGTACATTTGAACTAGGACGCAAGAGGAATGGAGAATATTTCATTTTTACTGAGGCAAACTTCTGAGAAAAATAAAGGTAGTTATACTCTTTTAGCAATCTGATTCTTCTTACCCAAAACATATAGCTCACTGTTGACTACAGCTGTACTGAATCGGTACTTAGAGTACTTCATGGGTGCTCGCTCTGTCCACTGATCCTGGTTGGGGTCATACTGCAACAGTTTGTTGCTTAATCGATCAGGTTCTTCATCAGGAAGATCCATCTGTATAAAATATGACAGCCAATGTAATAACATACCACTTGGCGATCTTTGTGAGCATAAGAATGCAATTAATCAAAGCAGACAGGCAAGGAGGTAAACAGAGGTTAACTGTAGTGACTCATACAAACACACCAAATCCCTTGACTTGTGGGTATAAGTACACTGTCAATATCAGAAGAATCTATATTCTGTAATAATGGGGCTAAGGTGTTGTGTTATAGCAAACAATCTGTGATCTTAACAATGAGACAATATAGCGTTTTTTAAAAAATGAAGGAACTACAAAGACTTAAAAATGAAACCAAGTTTTCTTGAACAGCATTTAAAGTGTAATTGTACTTTACCAAACTTTATAGTGGTGGATTTTAATAATATTTGAGAAACTAATTTTAATAATTTATAAGGTATTTTTCTTTATAATATTTTTCTAATCCAAATGGAACAAAATTACAAAAACATTTTAGTGTTTTAGTAATTAGAGTATTTTTACACCATAATTATGACCTATATAGGAATGGTCTGAATTTAATTTTCAAGATATATGGATTAATATAAATTACTTGCAGTTATTTTTATATATTTTATTTATATATATTTTTAATGACTAGAGACAGTACAAATCGAATGACTGTTTATTCTTACACAGATGTATGTGGCTTCTCCTACTAATAAACTTCAGGTGAAGTGTTTTTTTTCTACAATGTGTCAGAAACTTCTATGACTTCAGGCTAAGGATGCTTACATGTCTTTTGTTTTTGTTTCGGATGTGGGTGTTCAACACAAATAATTGCCATACTTACGAAAGTTGTATGCAATTAATTTTAGTTAACTACTTTAAATACATCGACAGTTATGATTACTATGTTGCAATCACAACCCACATCATCTTGCAATTTAATATATTGTATTAGGTACAGACTAGCAAAAACTTTCGTTATACAATAAATATTCACATGTCATCTGTTTAAAGACACTATAAATTAACAAATATTGACTTTATTGTTTTAATTTTCCATCTAATTTAAGTATTTAATCTCTATTTTAGTGAAACAAAAGCTTCTAAGTTGTTTTTGGAGCTTATTCATGAAAAATTAAGAATGTAATGGATAGTTCTGAAAAAGTTTAATTACAAATAATTTATCAGGTTTCAGATACTAGCTGTGATTAAGTCAGTACTACTTTTTGATACATAGCACAAATTAAAAAATGTATTAAATGTGAAGTTTAAGTTTTAAAAACAGGTAGATATGCTATACAAACAGGTATCATATGATATGATATGCTATAAGCTTAGGAAATGAATGCAAAAAGCATCAGTCATACGAAGCAAATCTAGAGAAATAAGAAATCATACAGGCAAAAATAAATTTACTTTACGTCATGGGGACAGGCAATGAGCTACTAAGATTAATTTTTATTAGAAAGACTGGATGGCCAGGGTAGAAGGCAGCTGGAGTGATACTAGTGTGAGAGCTCCAAGGCATTGGGAGGGACACCCAAAGAGAAAAGAAAGGGCCACTGTGGTCACACACTACTGATTTCAATTTGGCTGGCTATCACTTTGCTGGGCTTCAATACAAACAGTATTCTGGTTTCTTTATCTGCTGATGCCCAGCAAAAAGATAAAGTGTTTAAAATCACAACATATTTTTGTGGAAATGATTGTGCCATGACAGGATGAGTATTCTGGCTTTGTACTTAGAGTAAGAATTCAAAATGTGGAAAAGACCTAAGAGCTATTTGCCTCAGGTCACATAGCTATTAAGCAGACAGAAGTGGGATGAGGATCCAGCTTCTCTGCCTCCTACTTAGATGCTCCCTACAAATAATCCATCAGCATAAACATCTTTCATAATTAGCAAGAATGGGAAGGATTATGGAGAATATAGCATGAATACTGAATGAAGTCATGTCTATGAATAACACACTTTAAAATTCATTCTCCTAAACTGCTTTAACACTTTAAAATCTTAAGTTTAATGTTCTATAAAACAAATGGCATTTTACCAAAATGTAAGAAGCCATACTCTTTTAACATTCAACAACTACAACATTTTTCAACATAGCAGCCAGACTCAGCATAGCCATGCTAATTAGGTATACAGGAAATTTCTTAACCTGAGGGGTCCATCCTCCAATCACATAAAGTTTATTATTCACTGTTACTACAGCATGACACGCCAATTGTAGTGGAAGGGGAGACACCCTTTTCCAGTTGTCCCGTTCAACAGAGTACTTATCAACACAGTTTGTAATAAGGTACTGGTTTTTAATTTTCATCTGTCCTCCTATAACATAGAGGTCATTACGGACACTGCCCAGAGCATAGAGCTCTCGAAATTCAGTTGTGCATAACTTTTCCCAAAACTGGTTTCCTCTAACATGATACCTGTAAATTAACAGAGAGAGAACCGAGAATTAGCATGAAAACATGAAACAACGTTATCTAAGAAACACATTTAAGTTTCTTTTCCAACTAACAACAAGATAATTTGGTTCTTCTAATTGGAGAGGAAAAACTATTAATATAAGATACTGACACAGGTTTGTGCTTTTTTTTTTTTTTTGGCAAAGACTGATGAACAAAATATAATGTGCACAGAAACAATTAACCACACCTACCTGCAGAATTTTAGAAAAAATAACATATTGAAAAAGTATAGAATATCCAGGACTAGCCTTCATTTCCTAATTCTGGGAAAGAAAATCAAGAACAAATAGAAAAGCCTTTCAGCAAATCATCTGTAATTTTACCAGAGGATAAGAATAAGTAAAAATAAAGAAAAATACAAAAATGTCTTATTCTGTGAACTAGAAGTCTCACTTTAATACTACATTAAAGAAATCAGTTTTAGAGCAGAGAATCTGAAAATATCTCAATTTAGAGATTTATAATGGGATGATGTATGATATGTAGAATTTTAAGGATTGTTCGTATAGTTCTAACTGGCTTAGAACAGAGTCAAGAGCACCTGTAGGTATATAAAAACCCACCTGTAGGAGTCTGATGGGCATTGAACAACTATCTTAATCCTCTAGGTATGGTAATTTAAGTAATTTCTTCCATGAATAATTATGTTGGTCTGAGAAGAATCTTGGGAGGTAGGGATACTTAGACATATGGTCTCTCAATACCTAGTAGAGTCCAACACATTAACTGATTATCTACGTGTGCATGTATCTGTGTGTGTATGGCATTAGGCATTAAATATATGATTTTGTGGCTAACTCTGTCTTGCCTCTGGATAATGGTAAGTCTATTTTCTCCAATCATGATTTGGGACACAGTCTAAGGACAAAAGTACTTATGGAGGGAGTGGGATAAAATATGTGAAATTAGATCTGTTGTGGAAAATCCAGAAAGTATATACCTGGGATTCAAAACTAAAACAAAACAAAACAAACAACAAAAACTAGGAAAATATGGAAAATAAGAAAAAAAAACGTTGTTCTGTTTGGAAACAAATGAAGAAATTATAATGTGTGTGTTCTATACAGAGTACAATTTTTAAGTACAGACTACTTACTTTGCATCAAATATTTAACAGTTAATAATATTATAGGAGTTTTTCCCAGTTGTTCTAGGCCAACTCTTATATTCACACCAAGAGATAACCTTTTACTTTAGGCTTGACATAGAAGTAGGAAGATTATGTTCCTTTCCTAGAGGCCACATCTGACTTGTCACAAATTGAATGCAGAAATTTACCAAACCTTATGATAGCTGTCTTCTATGTAATTCCAGGTAGAAAAAAGCCCCTAGAATCACAGGTGATATTTTTCACCACTATTTTTTGTTGTACTGGATTTTAGAAGAGAAAGGAGAATTAGGTGTCTACAGGTGGGGGATACTGAAGTAAAGCCAATGGATGAATATATAAATAGAACTAAAAATGGGTTTTGGTTTTCTAAGACATGGTTTAAGAAAATAGGCCAAGAACGAAATACATCCCATGAAGGCTGGGAAGTGTACGTTTGCTGCACAACTTGCTAATCTGATTTTTGCTTTAACATTCTGAACTGAAAATGAGGAGAGAAAATGCCCAGATAAAACTATAGAACTTTTTAAGAATAATGGATATGACATAAAAAAGAAAATAATAGTGACAAAAGCATTCAACATTCATAGAGGTTGATAGTTAAAGACATTTATGTCCTCAGCTGTTTGTATACCAAAGTATGAGAGATAGTTAAAAGAGATGGAAAAGTATATCTTTTTGAAAAGAAATGACCTACCAGAGTACTAGTCTACTTCCTTTTTTAAGTCAAGAAGAAATATATCTACATGGAAATTTATATAGAGTAGAGGCAAACTTAAGAGCATCTAGGGAAAGATAAAAGGGATAAGAAACAGAAATAATTTAGTACAAATGTATCACAAGATGATAATTTCTCACATATATCACAAAACTGACACTAAAGTGACCTTCAGTAGTGCTATAAGATTTTAACTATCCAGACATCTGCTGGAAGTCTCATTTAAGTCCAAAACAATGCTTCTGATAATTTCATTCTCTGCCCTGCTGAAAATTTTATTATTGAAGGAAATGAGGAGGGCAACTGATACTTTTATCCTAATTCTGACCAATGTGGAGGAGCTGGCTGGTGATGGGAACCTGGTTTAATTCAAGATAGACAAGAAGGGAAACATGGGGTATATAGTTAGACATATGCCATAACAAAGGGAAGTAGCCTTTCCAAAATTTTTAGAGGAAAGATGTTTGAGGATCAAAACAGAAAGATACTTTGACAGGATTGGATATTTATTAAAAATAAATTCTGGAGTGACATCAGCATCACAGCAGAGTGCGTTGTTCCCTTTGTCTCTCACCTCTAAGTTATAAGCAAATGGATATCCATTGACAAACAGAGGAATCCCTACACAGCACAACAGGATGATTAAGAAATCCACACATCTATACATATGAAGGTAGGTGGACTAGACCCTTGGGAAGTAGTGTAAGTAGGGGAGCAGCCCCTTTTCCCTCCCCTGGAAGCAGCAATCCAGAGTGTGGATCCTCATGCAATGGCCTGCACGACTGTAAGTGAAGGCGAGGACAGCCCAGCCTGCACAATGGCTTGTGGAATGGCAGCAGTGGCAGTAGTCTGACCTGCACAACTGTAAGCAGACAAGGCGAAGCAGAAAAAACAGCCCCTGCCCCTGCCCCCAGCAGTGGCAAGTGGAACCTGCAACCAGAAGCATCAGGAACCACAGCAGAACTAGTGACCTAGCCTCCAGTGGTGGCACCCTGACACCAGCTCCACCAGCAGCAGTGGCTGCATACAAGTCCCAGGGTCCATGAGCCCCTGCCAGAGACAGCAACACCAAGGAACCCAGTACCTCTAGCAGTGGTACACCCAGCACTGGCAGACAACCTGGGAATAGCAGCATAGGTGAGGCATGGGACGGCAGCATCCAAACCTGCAGAGAGCCAGTGGAGGAACACGAGACCCAGACAATCCCGGAAGCAGCAGAAGTGCTCGCAGCCTGGTGACCCCAGTGGCGTCACCTGAGACTCAGCAACATCATAAGCAGCAAAGCACCAGCAACCCCAGAGGCACAAGAGGCACAAGGAGGGCAATGACAATACTTCTGGCAGAGGCAGTAGAGGGTGAAAAGCGCAGGCTCTCAAATACAATCAGAAGCAGCTCAGAACCAAAGTAACTAAAGCCATACCCAAACAAGAAAAAGTGATTACTACCACAAACAAACCAGGAGAGGATCAATTCATCAAATACCATGAAGAACTACAGTATTACTGCATAACAGAAGGAAAATTGGCTCAGGAATAAAATTAATGAACATGAAGAATACTTTACTGAAGACATCGAAGACCTAAAAAATCCCTAACAGAAATTCTGGATCTGAAGAACACAATCAATGAGATGAAACATAAGGTAGAAAGCATTAAAAATAGAACAGACCTCATTGAGGAGAGCATTAGTGAGCTCGAAGATAGAAATCTAGAGATTATTCAGGTGGAAGAGGAGAGAGAACTAAGAATTTTAAAAAATGAAGAAATTTTTCAAGAAAGATCCAACTCAATTAGGAAAAATAACATAAGGATTATAGGTATCCCAGAGGGAGAAGGGAGGGAGAAAGGAGCAGAGCATTCATTCAAAGAAATAATAGCTGAGAACATCCCAAACCTGGGGAAGGAACTGGACATGCAAGTACATTAAGCTAACAGAACTCCTAATTACCTCAGTGTAAAAAGACCTTCTCCAAGGCATATAATATTAAAACTACCAAAAGTCAACAACAAAGAAAAAATATTAAGGGCAGTCAGAGAGAAGAAAATAACCTACAAAGGAACCCCCATCAGGCTTTCAGATTTCTCAGTAGAAACTCTACAGGTTAGGAGAGAGTGGAATAACATATTCAAAATACTGAATGACAAAAACTATCAGCCAAGAATACTCTATCTAGCAAAACTATCCTTCAAATAGGATGGAGAAATAAAGGCTTTCCCAGACAAACAAAAGCTGAGGGAGTTCATTGCCACTAGACCTGCCTTACAAGAAATGTTGAAGGGAGCCCTCCTACCTGAAAAAAAAAAAAAAGCAAAGGTTTACAAAGCTTGGAGGAAGGAGATAGACAAAATCAGAAAATGGCAGCTCTATATCAGAATAAGTTAGCAAACACTTAATGTAACATAAAGGATAAAGGGAAAGAAAGCATCGAAAATAACTATAACTACTCCAATTTGGTCACAAACTCAGAACATAAAAGAAAATAATTTGTGACAATAAAAACATAGGGAAGAGGAAAGGGATGGAAGCTGCATAGGCTAATGGAGATAAAAGGTTATCAGAAAAAGGACTATCTCATCTATGAGATCTTTTATACAAACCTCATGGTAACCGTAAAAAAAAAGTCAGAGCAGAGTCACAAATCATAAATAAGGAGAAAACTAACAAAAAACATCACAGAAAACCACCAAACTGAAATGGCAGACAGAAATACAAGGAAAAAGAAATGATGGAAATATACAACAAACAGAAAACAAAAGACAAAATGGCAGTATGAAGTCCTCATATATCAATAATCACTCTAAATGTAAATGGATTAAATTCACCAATCAAAAGATATGGAGGGGCTGGATGGATTAAAAAACAAGACCCAACAATATGCTGCCTCCAGGAAACCCAACACAGCTCTCAAGACAAACATAGGCTCAGAGTGAAGGGATGGAAGGCAATACTTCAAGCAAATGGCAAGCAAAAGAAAGTGGGTGTAGCCCACTAGACAAAGCAGACTTGAAGATAAAAAAGATAACAAGAGACAAACATGTGCATTATATAATGATAAAAAGGACATTTTACTAAGAATATATAACACTTATTAATATATATGCACCTAATACAGGAGCACCAAAGTATATAAAGCAACTATTAACAGTCCTAAAGGAAGAAATTGACAGCAACACAATAATAGTAAGGGACATTAACATCCCACTTACATCAATGGGTAGATCATCCAGACAGAAAGCCAACAAGGAAACAGTGGCCTTAGATGAAATACTAGACCAGATGGACTTAATAGATATATCTGTGTGTGTGTGTCTGTGTCTGTGTGTATACAGAACATTCCATCCCAAAACAGGAGAATACACATGGAACGTTCTCAAAGAAGGACCATATGTTGAGAAACAAAACAAGTCTCAATAAATTTAAGATTAAAATCATATCAAGCATATTTTCTGACCACAATGGTATGAAACTAGAAATCAACTACAAGAAGAAACCTGGGAAAGTCATAAATATTTATATGTGGAGACTAAACAATATGCTACTGAACAACTATCAGATCAATGAAGAAATCAAAGGAGAAATCAAAAAATACCTGGAGGCAAACAAATATGAAAACACAACATACCAAAACCTATGGGATGCAGCAAAATGGTACTAAAAGGGAAATTTATAGCAATATAGGCCTACCTCAAGAAACAAGAAAAATATCAAGTAAACAATCTGACACTACACCTAAAAGAACTAGAAAAAGAACAAACAAAGCCCAAAGTCAGTAGAAGGAAGGAAATAATAAAAATCAGAGCAGAAATAAATGAAATAGAGACTAAAAAAATGATAGAAAAGATCAATGAAACTAAGAGCTGGTTCTTTGAAAAGATAAACAAAACTGACAAACCCTTAGCCAGACTCAATAAGAAAAAAAGAGAGACGACTCAAATAAATAAAATCAGAAATGAAAGAGGAGAAACTACAATAGACACCATAGAAAACCAAAGGATTATAAGAGAATACTATGAAAAGCTATATGCCAACCAATTCGACAATCTGGAAGAAATGGATAAATTCTTAGAATCATACAACCTTCCAAAACTGGATCAAGAAGAAGTAGAGAATTTGAATAGACCAATCACCAGTAAGGAGATCGAAACAGTAATCACAAACCTCCCCAAAAATAAAAGTCCAGGACCAGATGGCTTCCCTGGTGAATTCTACCAAACATTCAAAGAAGACTTAATACCTCTCCTTCTCAAACTCTTCCAAAAAATTGAGGAGGGGGGGAAGCTCCCTAACTCATTCTACAAAGCTGACATTACCCTGATACCAAAACCAGACAAGGACAACACAAAAAAAAGAAAATTACAGGCCAATATCACTGATGAACATCCATGCAAAAATCCTCAACAAAATACTAGCAAATCGCATATAACAATACATTAAAAACATTATACACCATGATCAAGTGAGATTTATTTCAGGTATGCAGGGATGCTTCAACATTGGCAAATCAATCAACGTAATACACCACATTAATAAAATGAAGAATAAAAATCACATGATCATCTCAATAGATGGAGAGGAAGCATTTGACAAGATACAGCATCCATTTATGATAAAAACTCTGAAAAAAATGGGTACCAGAAGGAAAGTACCTCAACATAATAAAGGCCATATATGACAAACTCACAGCTAATATCATCCTCAATGGTGAAAAACTGAAACCTCTCCCTCTAAGGACAGGAACCAGACAAGGATGCCCACTCTCACCACTCCTATTTAACATAGTACTGGAAGTCCTAGCCAGAGCAATCAGGCAAGAA